CCTACCTGGAGACAGCGGCTAGAAGCCAAGGGTTATCTGAACAACAAAAACTAAATTCAGAAATGAGATTCCAGGGGTTTTTTCCCCGGTTTCACCAGAGTTTGGAAGGTATTTGGCCAATGCCCCCCTGACCAGTCACTTGGACTCAGCCATAAGCCAGTTATTGGAACTAATTCACACATCCCGGATTAACACAGGGCTCGCACTATAAAATCAAGGACACCTTGGGATGCTTCAAAGACACATGGCACAATCAAGCTTTATACCTGTGGCTACTCTGCCCAACATAAACACACAGCCCACAAACAGGGGTCACCCTCCAGCACCGCTGCCCAGTCCCCGTGCACCAGAGGGGTGGGTGCACCACAATCTTGGGAACCCTTGGCTCCTGCTGCTTGGATTTGGTTTCTTTCCGCTCACTGTCCCAAAGGGGTTTAAATTTACACTTCTGTATTTGTTTTACAGGGGCAGGGGATCAGAAGGGGCATTTAATAGCTTCCCAGATGCTGGCTTGGTCTGTACTATTTTGTACAAATCCTGTCACTTGGGCATCGGGAACATCAAACCTACTGCCAGCCCAGCCTGGGGACAAACCATCTCATGTTCATCTCCTGTACATAGCATTCCCATACAACAAGGGTTGCAGAAACTTGCTTGCCTTCTTTAAATCCAGAGTGCATAGAAGAAAGGGACAAGACTTGGTTTAAGTGCAACAGTAAAAGCATTTGTGAAATGCAGGGGCAGGAGAACAAGCAGCCACTTGCCGAACTCAGCCCTGCAGGGCAGAGACTCAGTGGCCCCTCTGCTCATGGGGGCCTGGGGCTTTGCCCTCCCCAATCACTATGCAACCAGTCTACCAAAAAAAAAAAAAAAAAAAAATTCTCCCGCTAGAAAAGGCCTGGCACAACAGTTATGCCCTCCAAGAGATTTAGGAGGTGTCTTTAATAAGACAAAACTATGAACATCTTATCTAGGAAGAAACAGAATAGCGGAAACGCTGAAGAAGAGTTATGGGCTATGTCCTGTCCCTGCTCCAATTCCTCAAAACAGCTGAGCAATTTACCCAAAGCACTGCTTGGCTAGCACAGACCCTGGCCTGGAAAACTTCAGCCTGACAGGGCAAAAGAGGTGAAAGTTCAAGTTTAATAAATGGGACTGAGAGTTTATGTAGTCTTAATGTCACCATTAATCCTATTAATGTTATTAATCCCTAGGAGAGGTACGGGAAGGGCACTAACTGGTGAAGAACAGACAAGGTAAAGGAGATTAAAAAAAAAAAAAAAAAATAAAAGGTGTGTGTTTAAAGCCCTGACTGCTGTGGCATGAGATATCACCACAGTCACACAGCTTTGTGGCTTTCCCATGGCTGTCATTGTCACAGAGGCAGACAGTTAATGCCCAGAGAATCTCACCAACTAATTTCTCAATGAAGCCCATAAACATATCTGAGATAATCTATGATGGAAAAAACAACAAACCTTCACCTCTAAAAAACGTCTAGCAATGGGGAATCTGACAACTGCCAGAGTAGTTTTTACTTTATCAAAAAAAGCATTTCCCTTACTGTTGAAAGTATATACCTTACTGCTACACTTGGATCAGGCTAGTGGTTTGAATTACAACAGGAGAGACCCCCAGGAGCATAAATAGCTGTATTGTAAGCAAATATTTAGGCAGGTTATATATAAAGATATGGGACTCCAAAGCTCTAGTCTTCTCCCACTGTCTGCAAACAGAACACATGCAGGAGAATCTGACGCTGTCACATTACGCATTAGGAGCCGAAATGGCTTCTGGTCAGCCCTTTGGGGATGGATAATCGGCAGCTTGTACCATGCTCCCGATTAAGAGGAGATAATCCATCTCTGTACGGCTTTGGTGTCAGATCAGAGCAATTCTGGCAACGGTTCCAACAGCACACAGCGCTCCAGCAACAGCTGATGCAAACGCTCCAAAAGCCACGGGGCATCACAGCCTCCTTCCAAAGGACGTGCCGCCACTTCAACTGTCCTTTTGCAGCAGCAACTGCTACAAAGGTCAAGCACATAACGGAGGCAGTACGGGTTTGTCTCTCCTCTCAGACCTGAATGTCAACGCTGAGAGATTAGCAGCCAGAGAACCCGCAACAAAAATTTCCAAAGAGCTGGAGGACATGGTTTGCTGCTTGAGCTGCATCCTGGAGCAGGCTTTCACAGCATAGGGATGTGTCACCCTGCAAGAGGAGCGTTCGTCCCGCTGCTGGAAGACCAGTTAAGTGAAGTGAAATCAGTCTCTGCAATAACTCATCCAGCTGCTCAGTCCCTCTACACAGCTGTAGCACAAAGAATTTCTTGTTAAACAGAGGAAGGTGCACAGCTCTTGTGTATCAGCTTTACTTTTACTTGAATGGATTTAGCTATTATTAATAAGGCAGCCCTAAAGAGCTGCAAACGCTAAAATCAGAGCACGGGCTCATGTAAAAGAGCTCTGGAAGGGATCGTGCACTTTTCCAGTCTCATCCCTGGAGGCCAAGACAAACATATGGGTCTTGATTATCTCTTCTTCCTGTAGTTTGTTATATTACATCAAAAAGTGTGGGAAGAATTACACTGGACAAGGACGTGCAAGGCAGAACTGACCACAGTTGACCTGATGACCAAGCACCAGGACCAAAGGAAGGAAACACCACACCACAAGCAGCCAATCATTCAACAGCAGGTTCTTAAACAAAACTGCCACAGCAGTCTAGGGCACGGCACTCCAAAATTCTTTCAGAAGAGTCTGAGGACCTTAGCGGAGAGACTCCTCAACCTACCCCAGCCACCAGCAAGAATGCTGCTAAAAAAGGGGTGCCTTCAGCCTCCAAGTGACTGGGCTGGAGGGAGAGAGGCAGTCATGATTAAAAGTCTTCAAAGAGGTAAATGGTGGAGGATGGTAATCAGTTAATCTCTCCTTCCACCCCAGGTAAGATTAAAAAAAAAAAATAATCCCTAAATTACCTTTGTCTACAGCAAATTAAGATTTAGATCTGATATTAGCAAACAGTCAAAGACGGGGCCATTAGGCTTTGGGACAAGCTCAGGAGGCTGCTAATTCTCCTTCCTTAGTTTCATACACAGCAGAGAAACACCCTTCAGGGACAGGCCAGCCACAGTAAATCCAGCTTCCAGAAACAGGATCACACCTTGCCCTTCCAGATTTGCCTGTCAAGGACTCCCAGGGCTAAGATCAGGGTGAGACTGGTGCAGGACACACTGCAAGGGGCTGATGGAAGAACCACACAGCACAAACAAAACAGCTTGTACACGGCTCCCTATCAAAGCTCACCCATTTGGAAGCCTTGTGCTTTGACAAGTATCCAGCTCAGTTTAGCTTAATATCCCCCTGCCACCATGTGGCCTGCAGCCAACTCTCACCCTACAAATGGGCAGAGACACCTAGCAATACAGCTGCACCATGTCAGGGATGCTAATACAGTGAACCGTGCATGCTCTTTGTTTTCAATGTAGCATTTCAAAAAGCCTCGTCGTTCATTTAAGGTGAAGTAGATGCTGTTCCTCTGGTCTCTTTGAAAGCGTTTATCTATGGGTTGGATTTCATTAAGTGTCTTGTTCTGCATTTAATAAGCCTGCAAGTCTAGACACTTTGGTTCTCTATCACCCCTTTGGTGTACTAGCAGGTAGAGACAACAGAGGTTAAGAGGGAAATATTTAGCTAGCAGATTTAGATGCTATCAAGATGATTGCATAATTCCACTTTGACTCACTGCAATTTCATACCCAGGGATTTTTGCTCACCCAGGTGCCAATCCCTTTTGAAAGAAAGAGGCTGCTACCTGCTGCAGTACTGTAGAGAAGATCCCTGGGAGGTTCAAGGCACAGACTTCATGATATTAGTAGAAAATCCACGCCAAACCAATGAGCAAACAAGGGAGAATAAGGTCCAGAGGAGCGGTGTGGTGGAATCACCCTCTACTACCACACAGCAACGATGATGTATGAGCAGAACAACGGTCTCTCCAACCCAGCCCACCTGACTCTTCAGATATTTCCATGTGCAACTGGGTGTAACCCCATTCCCCCAGCCAACAAGGACAACCCAGGCAGGAACCTGATGCCCTGCTCCTCCCTCCTGGGGATGCCAAGGTGCAGGGGCTGCAGTGATCAGGAGCACCAAGGCACCTGCAGAGCCTCACAGCAACTGCCACGACCAAGAACTCAGCAGCAAAACTAAGAGGTGCTGCTCGAACCTCAGGTGGGTGCTGTGCCTGATGCCTGGGCATCAATTTCAGCTGTTTGCAGGAGGCATTCTCAAAAGAAAGGCACCTGGCTGCAAGGTGAGTAGTGCCGGAAGGGTGTGTGCCAGCTACCTCTGGAGGGAGTTTCCCCCTGCAGCTTCCATGAGCCAGCCATGTCCTATGGAGACCCAGTCTGATAGGACACTGCTGCAGATCCGAGGGCAATGCCAAGACCAGTCATTTGCTTATCAGTCAGCAGTTAGCATCACTCGAGCGATGGGAACACAGTCGAGACTTTGTTCATTTTGCTTCTGACCCTGCATCACACTTGAACCCTCAGCCTCCACACAAAACCAGCTCTGTATTTATCTGCTGCTCTGCTTAGCCCCAAAGGCTAAGTGAGATGATAGAAGCCCTGTTGGTTCACAACACGCTGGGAAAGATCCTAATTTTAGTGTATCAGGGCTGCAAGATGTGCATGTTTTACATGCATTGCGAGAATGCACCAACAAAACTAACTGCAATCCCACATTAAGAGCAAAATAGTTTTTCAAAAGATTAAACAGAAAGTAAGATCTCACTTTGGGAAACAAGCAGCCATAATCAGCAAATATTTCTCTCTCACGGGATTGCAAAACAAGGCATGCTCTGCCCTCCAAGCCATGAGTCATGAACTTCCCCAGCAAAGGGGGAGGCAGAGCAGAACCACTGCACAGAGAACAACACGATGGGGATTTTTTAAATTTTATCCCAAGGATATTAAGTTCAAGGTCTCGGCACTTACCATCAAACTTCTTGTATCGGGAACTAAACATGGTTTGTAGGTGATTGCTAAGCTCTACGACGGCATTTCTGAAGTCATGTTTACTCTGCTGACTGTACTTCTCCTCCATTTCTTGAGAGCAGCATGTGTAGCCGTGCGAGCAGACTTTCAAGTGGTCACCTGAAAAGCAGAGAAGAACATATCCTGAGTTGAAAGGATTTTCTATGCAAGGTCAAAAAGGTCAGCTTGCGAGGCAGGGGATGCAAGGACCCACAGCACCATCTCCTCCCAAGAAAACCCCCCCTCACTGCAAGCACTGGACCAGGCACATCAAAACCTGATTCTGTAGAGGAACTTTATAGAGTAACACATGCAAATACCACGCCTTGTCTTTCTGCAAGAACAGAGGTGTCCTCTTACTCAGTAATAAACACAATAATAGATACTCATCTTGCACAGTACAATTTGAAGAACCAGCAAATTGACCTTTATATACTATGATATCTTCCACGAAGTTTTTGCCAAGTATTTTAATTACTTCCAACTCATTCAGTTAATACACAACACAGTATCAATGGCAATGGTCCTTCTTGTACAGATAAATCCTTTTTTTCTTCACACCCCCAACCTCCAAGTATCACAGGAGAAGTAAACTCTCTCAGAAGCACACTTATCACTAATATTAAAATACATCTGTTTTATGCAATAGCTCATGAAAAAGCTTTTTATTTCCCAGCTCCTAATTTCACAGGTTTCTGTCATCACCCTTGGCAAAATTTGGTGTTTGTTTTTGGAGAATTCAAACAGATTTTTCTTCCTTCACTGTGAAAGATAATTCTCTCCTAAAAGTCATCTGGCTCAAGCTGGCTTGGTCACAGGAATCGAAGTACTTCAGTATCTACCGTAGCTCCATTTCAAAATTTCACGGACACATGGGACCTGGCCCCATATAATTTGCTTTTAGAGCACCTCACTGCAGTGCAGGACAGAATCACAGAACGGTCTGAGTTGGAAGGGATCTTAAAGATCATCCAGTTCCAAGTCCCCTATGAATGGAGCTGTCGTCTTCTAACACCACTAATAAAATGCTGCTGTCAAGTTCTGTGGGCCAAGATAAACCCTTTGCGTAGCAATCCTCAACTACAGCTTCCCTAACAGATCCCACAACACAGCAGCATCGCAGGCAGGTGGGCTGATGCTAAAGTGGTTCAAACTTGGGCAAATTGTGCAAATCTTTGTCAACGCTGAAGATACGATCAAAACAAGCAGTTAGGATGAGAAACTCATCCTTCCAAGTCAGATGGTATTTTAAAAGACACAGCCTACATGTAAGCTGCTGCCTTCTCTCCCATTTCACAACTCGCTGCCAAACCTTATCCTTCATCCCGAAGAAACAGATGGAGAAGTGAAGGCTCTTCCCTACCTGCTCACACCCCAGAAGCCACCCACAACCTCCAACTGAGGTTCAGAGACTCACTGCCAGAGCTGCAAAGGGCTTGTAAGCCTCCTGCACAGAAAGTAACCTCTTCAATAACAGGCCATGAACTACACACTTACTGAAGAGCCATCCTACCTGCTATCAAAAGTGGGTTTAGAGAAACAAAAGCAGTTTTTGCACAGTGCAAAACAAAGCCTGCCCGTGACTAACATAAGCAGTTGCTTCTCTGCCTGCCTTGTGCAAGATCTCCTAACAACATCGTTTGCCCAGTTACTGAACCTTTGCATCACTTTGCATGACTTTCTAACCCAGAAACATTAGCATCTCTCCTTTCCAACACTTAAGGATCATTTAAAAATTATATAAATACTTCTATATCTATCTATAAATATAATTCTTAAGAACCACTCCTCCTAAATCTATTTCACTTTTGCGCTACAGGGTTGGTTTGTTTTCCCTGGCATTACAGAGAGACCTTGACCGACATATAATTCTGCCACAGTTAATTTATTGCACAAGACCATCCACTGCTCTTGAATTACAGAAAGCTCAAAGCCTGTTACAGGAAGCAGCACTGCCTAGGCACAGCCTTCAGAAAACATCTCACTATCTCCTTACAGATATATTTTCTCTCGTGGATTCTTTTCTTGCCATTCCAGAGGAGCACCTCCAGCAGCACATACACAGCACTACGAGGCGCAGCACCAAGCGATGCACCTCCATTTAGCTCGATAAGTCATTTAAAAAGAGAGGAAGAGGTGCACCAAGGATTTTCAGATCCTGCCCACCAAATCCATCCCGGAAAGCACCTAGGCACTCCTCTATGAGCCTGCCTTACTAGCAAGCATTGAAAAAAGGAAGTGCCCAAGCACCACCACATTATTTCACTTTGAATCTCTTTGCTGCAATTCTAATACAGGACTAACACTCTTTGACACAACGGGAAACATCAATAGCAGCAAAACGATAATTACAGCTAGAGCAACTGCTAGTTTTGAGATGTCAAAATAATTTAATTTCAGAACTCTTGTAACAGTTTGGGTTTCGGTTTGGTTCCTCCCCCACCCCCCTCCAAATCCGAGGTGGGGGGTGGGGTGTTGGAAATATTTTACCTGAAACGCACTTCATGATTTCAGTACCATTTCCGTGACGCATGCCCTTGGTGGTTACAACTTACATACTCCCCATTCTTTTGTGTTGGAAGTTGTCCACAGATGCCCTGGGAGCCCTAAAACAGTGGGTTTATCTCAAATTTATTTATGATAAAAAACATAATAGCCCAACATAGTTCAAACACAAGTAACAGTCTCATATCTATTTATACTATTGAACTAAAGTTACCATCCTGCCTAATGTTAACAAAGTAAAATCATTATTCTTTGATTCCCCCTCATCACAGATTTGCACAGTGCCTGCCCAGGACACACAGTACAAAGACAAGCAAGAACACTACTAATAGTAAATCAAGCTTGCACAGATCTCATTTGGTTGATCATTAAGAAATTATGCTCCAAAATGCAACTCAGACATTCAAAAACGAATGACCAAGCAATCTAATTATGGAAGATATTTCTCAGTCATGTCAGCACTATGTGCTCTTGGCTTATGATCAAGAATTAGCTCTGTCTGGAGCTGAGGAGCTCCAGTTACTCAGTACTAATCATAGGAGGACGCACTATGTTACCCAGTGTTAAAGAAACCAGGAAGTTTAAGGCTGTGGGTTGCTTTTCTTGCCGTTTTCTTACACCACAGTGGGAGATAGTAATGGAAAGTCATTGGAAGACACTGGGGACCCAAGTTTTCCCACAGGGAGGGTGGTCCTTCGCACTTCCGCATCCCTAAGAATACGTCCTTGCTTGAGCAAAGCAACAGGCACTGACATGGTTTGTGAGAAATCTCATGTCTAACCTTCATTTTAAATTGGCTAGCAGAGCTGATCCATTCAGCATCCACCCCCAGGACTGATCCCATGCCCAAGTTTGCAGAGCGAGCAATGCAACATCCCAGCATCCCATCGCCTGCTCAGGTGATGGATCATCCATCACATGACCCTTCGGTGAGTGGCTGCAGCGTCGGGAACTGCTTACACCTCTACGGACAGACCCCGAAACACAGCACCATCAGACAACAGTTTCAAAATACAACAGTGCTACAAGGGACGAAAATGATGAAGCCTGGACAGCAGCTCCTGCCAGTGGTGCACAGAAGCATGGACCAGTTACGTACACAGAAGACACCGACCTAGTGCCAACCACAAAGACAACACTCGCTGTCTTTCCAACTGGCAGTGAACAGGAATGAAAAATATGAGTATTTAGGCCCACTTAAACAGAGATCTAATGTTTATGTATATTATGTAAAGACGACTCATGGTGCATGCTCACTGTCAAGGACACATTCGGCAATAATTATTTCCCAAGTTAAAACTCATCAAACAATGCCCATACAAGGCAACTCTTCATCTACTGTTGAGTGTTAAGGACTCGGCAGCTTTTGTAATTTATCACCATGCGAGCATAGCAAAAATATAACTCTGCCACAGTTTCCTTTCATGTCAGGCTTTTCATTGAATTGTTTAGCAGGGTGTGCAATCATCACGTCGGGGCCTGCATGGCAAAAAGAGCTTAAGTAGCCGAGAATGACTAAATATCTACTGCATATGCACACCATCACTGAGGCTTGTCATGGATTTGCAGCAGATCTTTCCCATGGCCTGTTACAGAAAGACTTTTTTCTCTATTTTATATTACATATGAACACAGAGAGAGAAATGAGGGACCAAAATTACAAAAGAAGCTTGCTCCTTGGCTAGTTAACAGCACACCTCTGGGGAACGGAGGTGGTGGTTTAAAGATAGAAATGCAATGGTACACGATGTTACCATCTGTACATCCAAGGAAATGTGCCCAGAAAGGTAATTGTGCAAACTTATGATTTAAGCCATTACAGAAACACCACATTTAGCAGACTCCAGGCACAGAGAGTTGCTTCCAAATCAAGTAACTATTTTGCAATGTGTCAGAAAACAAGTTTTCATTGAATGAGTAAGTGTGCAGTGCAAACTCAGGGGCTCAGTGATCTTGAGAAGCAGTTCCCTTCACTGAACAATTTTCCAAGACCTTTTCAAAATGTTGTTTCCGGACGCCTAACCTGCCTTCCCAGCCTGCTTGTCCTCACCTTCACCAAGTTCACACTTTACATATACTGAGCTGCAAACCAGCTAAACTTTCAGGAGTCATTTGCTGGGAGGCAAGGCAGGGGTATTTCTTTAAAACACTCCCGTACACAGTCTAGTCCTTCACTGCAGCTCAATAAACAAGCCAAAGCAGTTTATGCTCCCAGATGTTACTGTTGGACTTCACTTCCATGTGAGAAAACGGGCTGGGGTAAGCTGGGCTGGTGGAGGAGCGGGAGGCAAACACTGCTGGGGGACCAGTGAGCGAGGCCATCATTTTGGCCTCACACTCTGACTCTTCCCTTTAGCACATATTGGCTTGTGTCATCTTTAAAAGAGTTTTATGACTTCCTCTGAACCAACTACCAAAGGAATCTCGGACTGTAACGCTGGGCTCTAATCCGATTTCACACTAGACTTGCCTTCCAATTATCACAGAATATTAGGCTTCCACCCATCATATATAATTGACATGCTACCAAGGCTTTACAAAACCCCCAACAAAGATGACAAGAAACACTAGCATCACCACTGAGCACAGCTCTACTGCTCTGGCCCCATGTTA